GGTTGTGAGCAGCACTATATGGGTCCCAAGAATTTGGCTTCTGATATGATTGATCCTTTTAATTTTCTTAGATGTGTTTATGTGTATGAATGGTTTGCCTGAATGTATGTATGTGTGACATATGTGTGCCTGGTACCTTAGGAAGTCAGAAGATGGTCTCATCTGCAGGAGCTACAGTTACAGATGCTTGTGAGTCCCTGTGTGCTAGGATCCAGACCCAGCTCATCTGTGAGAGCAGTTAGCACTCTTCATCACAGAGGCATCTCTCCAGCCCTAAAGTTTTTGGAATGTACTTTATACTTTGGTTTTTTTGAGACAGGGTTTCTCAGTAGCTATGGAGCCTGTCCTGGAACTCACTCGATAGACCAGGTTGGCCTCGAACTCACAGAGATCCACCTGCCTCTGCCTCCCGAGTGCTGGGATTAAAGGCATGCGCCGCCATCACCCAGTAGGTGCTTTATTCTTAAAAAGATTTTAGGAAGGGTAGATAGTGGGGGTGGGAGGAGCTGGAGAGATGGCTCAGTATTTAAGTGCACTGACTGCTCTTCCAGAGGTACTGAGTTCAACTCCCAGCAACCACATGCTGGTTCACAACCATCTATAATGAGATCTGGTGCCCTCTTCTGTCCTGCAAGCATACATGTAGAAAGAACACGGTATACATAAATTTTGTTTACAAAAGGATTTTTTTGTACATGTGTGTGTGTTTATATTGCTACCTTGATCTAGAACCAACAGGCCTAGTGAGTTATTTGGGGTGTGCCAGATAACGAATTCCCATTTTAAATAATTTACAGGTTTGCCCTAGTTGTGTCTTGCTGTTTGTGACATGTCTCATTGAATAGCCTAGTGAAATTCACTTGTGTGGCTTAGACTGCCTTCCCACTTGATATGTACTAAAGATTGGGTTCAAACCTCTTGTCATCTAGCTTAACGTCCCAAATGCTTCCAGCCACGTGCTGCCACCCCCAGAAGGCCCTGGGCATTCCTGTAGTGAAAATGTTTCTTAAGTGACAGAAAACTTGGCTGATTTTATTGTCTAGATGTGAACTCTGGGGCTGGGGGAGTGAAGCCGGAGACGAACAAAACAGACAAGTAAGACAAAGTCTTACTATGTAGGACGTCAGACCAGCCCAGCCTTGAACTCCCAGAGCTTCACCTGCATCTGCTTCCCTAGTGCTAAGGTTAAATATGAGCAGCCATTCCCAGCTACAGTTTCATCTTAAAAGTTAAGACATGAGTTGGCAAACTTCCTGTGAAGACCCCCCAAACCCAGTAACTCTCTAAACCTCATCCGTGTCTAAACCTTGAGTTGCAGTGTGTGCGATTCCACGGATAGTACGTAATATGTAACGTTTATGGACATTGAAATTTGAATTTCATGTCCTTTTCCATGTCGTGGTATATCACTGCCAGCTTTTTTTTTTTTTCTCAACTGCTTATCGCTGTAGAAGTGATTTCATAGATTATTAGCAGCAGCACAGCGCCAGGGCAGCCACAGATCTGGACCGCAGTTGTGGACCCTGTTGTAGAGAACTCAGCTGTCCGCTTTCCCAGCCGTGAAGGCAGGGCATTCTTTGGAGCAGCTCCCCTATTAATGTTAGGGATGGGATGTCACCAGAGAGCATGCCCCAGTGTTAAAGGATTTCTTATGACCGAAGAGACGGCTCAGCCCTTTTCTGGAACATGCTTTGGCTTCCTCGTCTGCTCTGCCTTTCTGCCTGCTGTTCTCGGATTGTGACACTGTGTCTAGGTGTGTGTATTTTTAGACACGTTAGATTGAGAGTTATGACCTTCACTGGATATCTCTGGAAATGCCACTCAGGTCACGACACGGCTTTGTACACTGTGTGCTGTACCAGCGTGTGTGCAGTGACGTTGACCGAGGGAGGAGGCGAAACTTGACCTCTGCTGACTCCTGGCACCAAACATGGGCTGCTTTGTGTGCCTGTCCCTCCCTGCAGGAGCCAGTATGGTTGGAAATGCTGACACTCACAGTCCAAGGTGCAGCAGGTAACTTGCTCCAGGGCCCAGACTGCACTGACATCAGTAGGCACTTCTGGAATGGTGAGCTGTGAGCGACCAGATTGCTGGGAAGCGTGGTGGGAACACAGAAGCAATCTGCACTTCTAACAGCCTGCTCTTTAAGCCCCAAGAGTGTATTTCATTAAACTAGAGGATTGCTAACGTTAAAGAAATCACTCAGATGTGCAAGATTCATCTATTCAGTCTTACAGAGCCAGAGCTGGTTTATTTAAGTATAGTGCTAGAGACTGAACTCTGGGTCTTGCTCATCCTGTGTAAGCAATTTATCACTTCCCAACATCATTCTTTTTTAATTAACTTAATTTTTTATTTTGCCATACTGTATGCATGCTCTACCACCATACATCTTCAGCGCTATTAACATTCCCTAAAGCACTGTGCTGTGTTCTGCCCCTGCCCTTGGGCTAGCTGTTCCACAGTGGTACACTTTAACACTTGGGTTGTCAAAGGAAAAATGGTTCAAATGTCCAAGGACAACTAAAGTTTAAAAAATCTGGTAGGATCCAGTCACTGGTGGTACATGCCTTTAATCCCAGCATTTGGGAGACAGTCAGATCTCTGAGTTCAAGGCCAGCCTGGTCTCCTGAGTTCCAGGACAGCCAGGGTTACACAGAGAAACCCTGTCTTAAATATAACAAACAGCAAAGCCAGTAATGTCTGGGCATAGACCTAGAAATGGGTGCTTGATTATTGGATTTCTTAAACACATGCAGTATGGTCAGCACCACAGGAGGATATTTTTCGTGAGCTTTCACCTACTTCCCTGAAGTCTTCCACATCTATTTTGGAACCTACTCTAATACGCCTAATGAGAAAATTAGCTGCCAAATTAGCCTTTTCAACTTTTTGAAGTAGTTCAGTACATGGCCAGCAGATGGCAGCATTGGGCTGCTGGTACTTGTCGTTTATCCTGTTGTCTATTTTCATTGTTCCAGGTTTTCTTGGGCCCAAGGTTGATCAGCTTCCAAATCCCCCTAGGTGTGTGCCTAAGACAATCCTGGATTTTGCTCACTCTTTACCTTTTAGTCTTTTTAGTTGGGTCGTGCTGGAGATACCAACCTCAAACTGAGGACAGTATCTGCTGACTGGACAGCTGGGCACAAACAGTAGTTGCTGGATAACTAGAGCATGGCGAGGTGTCTTCTGGTGATTTGCTCTTAGGACTTGGGTAGGACCAGTAGTCAGTTTAGGTCTCGACTAATGAGGTTGCCCCCAGAGACCTAGTTAGAAAGGAAAAGCTGTCTGTTTAAATCGCCATCCTGTCCCGCACAGCTGGGAGCTGTTAAGCTCAGTCACACACTTGCCTAGCAGATACAAAGTCCGGGGTACAATCTCTGTCTCTGAAGAGGAAGCTCCAGATAAAGACAGATATTTAGTCCTCTCTCCGGGCAGTGGTGGCACACGCCTTTAACCCAGCACTTGGGAGGCAGAGGCAGGAGGATCTCTGAGTTCAAGGCTGGTCTGGTCTACAGAGTGAGTTCCACCAAACTCACCAAAGCTCTGTCTTGAAAACCAAAATATATATGTCTTGTTTAATGCGGTGGTGGTATGCTTGACTGGCTCTAGGTCTGTCACCCTGGCTGCCCTGGGACAACATAAACCAGGTTGGCTTTGGACTCAAGCGATCTTAACCTCTGCCTCAAGTGCTAGGATCAAAGTCTGTACTTATTTACTTATTTATTGGTTTTTCGAGACAGGGTTTTTCTGTAGCTTTGGAGCCTGTCCTGGAACTAGCTCTATAGACCAGGCTGGCTTTGAACACACAGAGATCCACCTACCTCTGCCTTGGATTAAAGGCGTGTGCCACCAACGCCTGCCTCCAAAGTCTGCCCAGTGACAAACTTAATTACATCCCCTTAGCAGAATAGTCCCAGCCCTTGGAGATGGAGGCAGGAGTATTAGGAATTCAGGCCAAATTCTCTTCAAAAACCAGTTTGAAACCAACCTGGGCTACTAGAGACCCCAAGACTCTATTTCAAACAACAAAATTCCCTTTATTCTCTGTGTATCTTTGATTGTTTTGAGACAGCCAAAGTTGTCTTTGAACTCATCCAGGAATACAAAATGGGGTTCGCTGCTAGGAGTACCACATCGTCTGAGGAATAACTAGATGGTGCATAAAGACAATCTTGAATTCCATCCGCCCTGCACTGCCACCCCAATAAAATGTAAAGAAAAGTTTAGGCAAAAATGGTTTAGATCTGTGTTATATTTTATCTTCATAATCATCCTGAACTTAGAAGGATGAAGCATGGAAAATAACTAGATGGCAGTGTAAACTGAATTGCCTGTTGACAGATAGCAGTTAAGGAAAGCAGCTGTGTAAAATTGGTTGCCGCCAGCTAGTTGAGAAATCCAGCCTTCAGTAGGAGAAAGGGCAGGATTTCTTCAAGTTCTTGTGTGCTGGTAGATCTCAGCCTTGCTTGTAGTACTGTGAAGAGCTTCAGACTAGTTCACACTCTGGGGTTGTATCAGAAGTGCAAGGGCTAACAGCAGGGTGTATTTCTGAAGCTCCCAGCACTGGTGAGCCAGGCTGTGGGGGTCATCAGTCTGATTCTAGGTGATTCGTTGTGTTAATGTGTAGGGCTAGAGACATGCTGCGTGAGGTGTGATGTGGTCAGATGCTTATTTGTTGCCAGGAATGGTGCTGTTGGGTTACCCATGGCAACGGGCTTAAAGTTAGGCTGGATCTAGTTTATGGCATTTTCCGTTCACGGTAAGCCAAGGTAGGATCTGAGGTGAACTGTCAAACTTGCCTGTTCACTTTTTTTGGTTTTTCGAGACAGGGTTTCCCGTAGCTTTTTGGTCCTGTTGTTCATTTTTGACCACCATAATTTTACCGAGAGCTGGCCTCAAACTCACAGGGATTTGCCTGCCTCTGCCTCCCGAGTGCTGGGATTAAAGGTGTGCGCCACCACCACCCAGCCCTTTTTTTTTTTTTGTGTGTGTGTGTGTGTGTTTCAGGCTTTATTGGAGATGAGATGGGCCTTGAGGAGCCCGGCAACTGAGGAACTTGAGACAGTATTGACCTGGAGGGTAATTCTCAGGAACAGAGTGCAGGGCAGACATCAAATCACAGAAGAGGACTGTGTGGTCGGTTGGGGCACAAATGAAGAAGGGGCGTTGACTAAAGGAAGCAGGGAGATGAAGACTGCATGGGTTTGACTAGGTTAAGAACTGAGGAGACAAAGCCGGAGAAGGGTGTGGGGATAACAGGGAGGCAGCAGTGTAGAAGGCCAGCTGTCCCCAGGGCCTGGAGGACCCTTAGCATAGACAGCTTCCCCATATAACAGCCAGCACAGCAGGGGTCTACTTGTTACACCAGTGCGCCATTTTTGGGAAGATAGGTGTTGGAAGGTAGCGACCCGTCTTCATGTAGGCAGAGATCTTCAGGGCCTCAAAGCGGGCCATGTAGTCCTTCAGGTTGGGGAAGGCATCCAGGCATTTGGGCTCAAATAAACGGTGCATGTCTAGGACATCATAGACGAGGAAATCCACATAGGTGAGCTTGTCCCCTGCAAACCATGGCCGCTTGCCCAGAAACTCAGAGTAGAGCTTCATCTTCTCAGGGATGGTCTTCAAGAACTCTGGCTTCTGCTTCTCAAAGTCAGGCTTGGTACAGAGCATGATAAACTGCGTGCGGTTGTCTATGACCTGATTCTCCACAATGTCGACACGAATCCTCTCCTGCTCTGTCTCCCCACACAGGTTGTGCTTGCGGGCAAGGTAGTGCAGGATGGCATTGCTCTGAGTGATCTTGGTCGATCCATCAATTAAGTAGGGCAGATTGGGAAAGTCCAGGCCCAGCTTGAACTTCTCATTCAGCCATTGGCTTCTATCATAATCAGGAGCGTCCCCCATGGTGTATCTCTTCTCCTCATAACTTGAGTCTGTGTATTCCAGGAGCAGGCGGATGGGGTGTGTCAGACCGCCGATATTCCAGTATCCCAGGAGCATAGGCATGGTGCTGGTGGTAGCTTTCTCAAACTGTCTTCAGTAAGGTAGACTTGGGTCTTTTCTTTTTTGATTTTTCGAGACAGGGTTTCTCCGTAGCTTTTTGGTCCTGTTGTTCATTTTTGACCACCATAATTTTACCGAGAGATGGCCCAAGGAGAAATTGGCAGAGTACTTTTCAATAAAAATAAAAGCAATACCATCAACCTCCGTGCTGGCTCTTTGCATTCTGTGGGGTGTAGCTCAGTAGTAGAGCACTGGCCTAGCAGTTTCTGTCCCAACCAATAACCGTAACGGCCTGTGACAACTCACCCTGTGTTCAGATGGTGGATCTGAATACCGCTTTAATCTTGGAATATACTTGAGTTTTCTCTTGAATACATGCTTGTAAGTAAAACTATTGTGCCAACCTGCTTTCCACTTTTTAAAATAATAACCAACTGTTTTCAGAACAGCTATACCATTTTAAATTTGCACCAAATAATAAACTGTCCATAGGTGCTTGGCCCCAATTAGCCTTTTATGGTTCGTGCTTTTGAGTGCTGTGTGGTGTAAGAATTCTGTCTAACTTACAGGATTTTCTCCTGCACTTTTCTTAGAAGTACAATACATAGCAGAACAGGTGGCTTATACTGTACAACAGCACCGGGAGACCAGTTCTAGACAGGTGTGGGCTCCGGTGTGATACTTCTATTATGCCGGGGGATAGACAGAACCCAAGGCTTTGGACATGCATGCTAGATAGATACTCTACCACTGAGCTATATACCAAACTTCGATTGATTTTATTGAAATAGGATCTCACTAAATTGCCTAGGCTGGCCTTGAACTTACTTTATAAGCCATGCAGATACAGAGCTCACTGTCCCCCTGACTCAGGCCTTGGTTGGCTTTAGTTTCTTGTTTACTTTTAATTTTTTATTTGTGTGTATGTCTGTATGAGTGTATGCCACCTGGATGCCACGCCCAAGAGGCCAGAAGTTAGTGTCAGGTCTCTTCAGAAGTTACAGTTAGAAGCAGTAGAGAGCAGCCTGGCAGGGCGGCTAGTACCGAACCTTCTTTCCAGCCTCAGTTACTTGATTGCTTTTATGTTATTTTAAGATTGATTTATTTTGCCGGCCTGTAATGGCATGCGCCTTTAATCTCAGCACTTAGGCGGCAGAGGCAGGAAGATCTCTGAATTCGAGGCCAGCCTGGTCTACAGAGCGAGTTTTATTTTAGGACGCTCTCCAAAGCTACAGAGAAACCCTGTTGCAAAAAAAAAAAATGTAGATGGTTTTTTGCCTGTATGTGGGATGTGTACCACATGCATACCTGGTGCCCATGGAGGTGAGCAGAGGATGTCAGTCAGATCCCCTGCATATGGTTGCTGGGAACTGAACTGGGGTCCTTTCCAAGAGCAACTGGAGAGCCATGTCTCCAACACCACACACCACCCACCCCAGTTTGGTTGGATTTGAGAATGACATTAGACACCAAGATGGGGGTGCCAGAGTGCTATATGCCATTGTGTCCAGCACTCAGGAGTGCGTGTTTGTACACACACACCACACACACACTCACATCCGTGTCTGGACATGTGCATCATAAGATGGGAAGCATGGCTGCCCACTGGTGTCGCTGTCTCGATGTTACAGCATCCCTTCGTCTCTCTGTCCTCTCTCAGGGACAGACACACATACACACACACACACACACACACACACACACACACACACACACGCTCGCTTCCACCCACCTACCCGTGTGCTTATTCATAAGCCCGCGGTTTCTGTATTGTTAGGCCCTGCCCTTTGAGAACGGACTTTACCAAGTAGAGCATAGTGTGGTTAGTTTAATCCCTGTACTTTGCTGTTGAATCATTGCTTTCCAAAGATGTGTAGATCACAACATCCACAGTCAGATTCCTCTGTTGAGATACTCCTGGCATCTCCAACCTCCTTTTAATATTTAAGGTTTACAGGTATCAGATTCGTTCTTTATGGCTGCTCCTGTATATGTTTAACTTTCTTGGGTTCCTTTTTTTTTTCTTTTCCAGACAGTGTTTCTCTGTAGTCTTTCTTGGTTCCTTTTTTATGACCATGATAGAACACCATGACCTAAGCAACTTATGAAAACCAAAGTGTTTAACTGGGTTTACAGTTTCAAAGGGCTAGAATTCATGGTCATGGAGTGAAGGCATGGTGGCAGAACAGCTGAGAATTCAAAACCTCAAGCAAAGGCAGACAGGGCACACTGGGATTTTTTTTTTCCCCAAACATCAAAGCCCCGCCCCCAATGGCACCTCTTCCACACAAGGCTATACTTCATTTCTACCAACTGGGAAGCTAGTATTCAAACAGCTTTGTTCCGTTCTCATCCAGAGCACAAACGATGTGCACACACACCATTCTCCAGAGTTCCCCGTGCTGCCCCTAGCAGCCCCCACTCCTGCAGACTCTGGCTTCCTTTCCTTTCCTGTCCTCCCCAGGGGAAATGCACCGTCTAGCGGGTAGAGCCTGGCCTCTTCCACTGAGAGATGCCTGTGAGAGTCCTTCCTCCTAGGGTCAGCTCATGTTCTTTCTACCCAATGAATGCCCAATGTTATGCATTCTACCCTTTTTAACTGTTCACATACTGAAGGGCATCATGGTTGCTAACAGTAAGTATTTTCAAATGGATGTTAGTTTTAATTAAGTAAATACCTAGAGGTGTGAACTCCTGGCTGAATAGTAAGCCTATATTTAATTTACATATATGTAAGCCCCATCAAGGTGCTTTTCATAATAGTTAGCCACACATAGAAATAATTATAATTCATAATGAACATCAGAATAACTGGTTTTCTTTTCTGGGGTGTGGGGGGTTTCAAGACAGGGTTTCGCTATTGCTCTGTCCTGGAACTAGCTCTTGTAGACCAGGCTGGCCTTGAACTCACAGAGATCCACCTGCCTCTGCCTCCCGAGTGCTAGAATTAAAGGCATGTGCCATCATTGCCCGGCTAGGTAACTGGTTTTCATACTTTGTCAGAGTCTTCAGTGTCCTGGAAAAGAGTGGGGTTTTATAAGCTGCCTCAGCTGTGGTCTAGAAGCCAGCAATAATACACTTCTTTAGTATTTATTCTCCCACACCACTCAAACATTCGATCTCAAAAACAAAATGCTACTTGGATATTTCTCTCCTTTTTAGGAAAAAATTTTCAAAATAACTTCTCTTGTCTTATACTCTCCCTCCTCCCCGCACACTGCCACCAAAAGGAGTGTTGTCACCACCACACACCCCTCATTTGTGTGATAGAATCCCCAGGTGGAAGCAACTGAAGAAGGGGTTTATCTTCTTCCAGTTCCAGAAGGACAGAGCCCAACATGACAGGGAGAGCAAGGAAAGAGCTGGAAGCTAGCTGATCATTTCATCCACACACAGGAAACAGAATGGCTATAAAACCACCTTCCCAAACAGCACCGGCAGCCTAGAACCAAGTGTTCAAATACACGTGCCTCTGAGGGACAGATCTGCATTCGGATCAGCAGATACACATACACACGCACGCACACCCCAAACATACCGCACCCCACCCCAAATTGAAAACCTAAGCATTGGTGAGCACTCATGTCTTTCCAGACACTGCTGCTCCCTGGGCCTGTGTTCTGTCTCTAGGGGCTAGGAAACGCAGGCAGTCAAGAAAAGAAAGCTTAGATGGAAACCAGCTGAGCAGAACTCGGGCGTCTCCTCCTTCGTTTCTCAGACTGCACCCTGGATATTTTGAAGAGTACATGTTCAGTGCTAACCACAGGAGTCTCCAAGAGACTGGCCCTGATGGACACTTAACATGAAACTAGGGCGATCTATACAGACACTGCACCAGGGCTACAGCTTTCTACATTGCAGCCTTCAAAAACCAAACTTGGGTCCAGGTGTGGTGGTTACACTTTTAATCCTAGCACTTGAGAGGCAGAAGCAGGTGGATCCCTGAGTTCGAGGCCAGCCTGGTCTACAAAGCAAGTTCCAGGACAGCTGGGGCTACACAAAGAAACACAGATTTTAAAAAAAAAAAAAAAAAGAACGAAAGAAAAAGAAAAAAGCAAATAAAAAACTTTGTTAGGAATGGGTGGGTCTAAAGACAACTAGAAGTGGTCGCTGACGTTAGGTAAACAGATTTATTAGTTTTGTTAAGAGATTGGTTAATGCAGTACTTGAATTACCTGTCCTGATGGGAAGCTGGAGCCTAGGAACCCCACTATCCACAGTGCATGCTGACAGCTTTTCTGTACGTCTGCTTCCTTCCCGCAGTGAGTTCCATGGGAAACGGCACGAGTAGACTCTATAGTGCTCTCTCCAAGACACTCAACAGCAGTGCAGCCGCTCAGCACCCCGAGTATTTGGTGTCGGCTGACCCAGAACATCTGGAACCCATCGATCCTAAGGAACTTCTTGAGGAATGCAGGGCTGTTTTGCACACTCGGCCACCCCGGTACCAGAGGTGTTTTGTGGGCATAAGGACAGATGGCCTGAGTAGCTACCCTCCCATTAGAGTCATGCAGTGGAACATCCTTGCGCAAGGTATGCCTGGGGCTGCTGTGCCTGACTGCTGAGGCCTCCTTTCTGCTCCTGTGTGCATTCCCAGTGCGCTATATGAAGGGACGAAATGGGGGAGGGTGGAGGCATATTTTCAACACCTCAGACCTTCTGTTGCTGAAACTTGGGTCCATAGCACCATGACAGCATTTACAGGAGACAAACTGGATGGGTAGTATGGGCTGTGTAAAGCAGGAGGGAGACCAGCCTTGGCAGTCCACGAGGGTTTGTGATCCCAGCAGTCAAAAGGCTGAGCCATGATGACTGCCACCTAGGCTGTGGAGTGACGCCTTGTCTCAAAACAGTAAAACCAGTGATACCATTTGGCCAACTCCCTTAGCACTAACTAAAAGACATTTTCATGTGTTTATGTATCTGACTTATCAATCTTTTAAAAGTATTTTTATTCTTGACAATTTCATACACATACCATATACTTGTTCATATCTGCCCACTTCCACCCCACCAACCCGGGCGCCTGTACAGTCATGTGCCCATCAAA